ACAGTAACCAACCTTCTTCACAAAAGCTTTGGCTTCAGGGGTCAGACCTTCGATTTTACTCTTTAGTTGCTTAAGAACAGGATCAATTTTGTTGTAAAGAGCAGGGTATCTCCTTTGGATTTCTGCTAGTACAGCTTTCTCATCTGTAGCCGTCCAAAACTCTCTGGCCAATTGCTTCAGTTGTTCCTTGTCCTGAGGGGACAAATTCAGGAAGAAAGTCTTGATGAATTTTGGTAATTTTCCTAGAACAAGAAAAACTCAAACGACCTGAAAAAACTACGTAATGTTCAAAATTTAAAAAAAAGCGTCAGGTGGGAAGTGGACAAATGAAGTCATATCACTTACCAAAAATAGGAAAAGTTCTAGAAACTAAGATCGTAGTTTTGCCTTTTTAATTGGTTACATTATTCCAAAAAACAGCGTAAACCTTTCATGCCGACTGACCTAGAAGTTTAGGCGGAAAATCCGTGAAGTGGATTACCATCACATCTGCAGAGGCAAAATTGCCTACAAAAACGATAAAAAAAATGCTTAATATCAGCTTCATTGTCTAGTCTGGTAGTTCGTAAGATCCTGAAAATTTAGAATTTTATCAAACACGTATTAAACCGCATCTATTTTCACTGTTTCAAGCAAATACAACGTTTTTTAGGTAGAAGATAAGTGATCAGTTTGAGGATCTAGACTTAAAATACCAACATAGGCCTATTTTATGGAAACAGTGAAATGCAAAATAAATTTATTGAAAATTTCTTCATACCAGTTAAAACATTTTTTAAAGAAAAAAGAAATGTTTCTTTTCTCAAATTAATTGCATAATTGAAGGTAATTCTGCTTTTTGTAAAAAAATTAGAAAAACAGAACTTGTCAAAACTACTCTTGCTTGTTACCACCGCATTCAAAGTTATAGGTTTAACTGAATATCTCTACTGATTCAAGATTCAAAACCAAGAAAGACTATTATTTCATGTTCGTAGCCAAATGTTCCATATTGGAAGACGTCGTTTGAAGTGTTTGCAAAGCTACTTGATAATGCTAAATAATGCTCACTTTAAAAGTTTTTTCAATTTTTACTAACAAGCGCTTTTTAGCCGAATTGAATTTCGTTTTCCACATGTTCAAAATTTATAACTATTTTCTTTAACACACAAATTTGGAATTTACAATGCAGAGTCTCATTTGCGGATTACGACAGATCTGATAAAAGAAGTAAGGAGGAGGAAGAGAAGCGAAAAAGAAAAACAACTATTTGAATTTATCAACTTATTTTTTAGTAGCAACCCTTATTCAATAAATAAGAGAAGCTACAGTAAAAGTAAGTTTTTACGATTGTAAGTAATTTTGAAATAAAACAGAAGTATAGTTGTAGTGAAGCAGGTACTAATTGTGTGTTGCGGATGAGCGATGAATTGCTTCAAACGAATTTGCTGAATTACTTTTTTTCAACTTCTTATATACAGAATAACTGAAGATTACTGATTGAGAAACTTTGTTGCAAAAACTTGTTTATTGTCTTATAATTTGAAAACTACAGTTTATCTTAAAAAACTAGTTCGTTTGCTGTTAGTGTACTTTGACCTTCACATTTTATCAAATTTGTATGAGATGAGAGGTCGAAGTATAATGCAGTTTTGTATACTGATTTTTCGAAAATAGACAATGCTCAGTTTTATTTCGCGTTGATGCTGCAGAAATCCAGCTGAAGTTTCTGTCCAGTTTATGTTGAACATGCATATAGCACGTGCACTTTTGCTTCAACGTTGAAGTTCAGCAGCAAGAAATGGCAGAATTAACCGCAGTCATGAAATAAAACTGTCGCGTAACTTCGTTTCTTAATTTATTTGGTGATTTTTCGGTGTACGTCCAGTTAGAAATTTCTTGTTATCATACTCACTGTTATTATTTCTTTTTGAATGACTGCCTCTGAAAACTGACTAGTTAATGCTTTCATGATCTTTGTACTTGCTCCTTAAGCTTTACAATTTTAGAAGTCGAAGAACGTATTTTGGATATGCCATATCCACAGAAGTGCGCATCACGAGTCAAAAAAAAAAAAATAAAAAAAGTTATGCGATTTTAATTTCAAAATTTCAAAATTTTACCACCTTCTCTTTCGTGAGGTACATTTGAACAATAATTGAAGGTGCATATTTGTAAATTTTGCTAGGTAAAAACTTTTAATTTTTGATTGATAATTTTTAGCTTTCTAATGCAGTAAAACCTTACTAGTTTATTTTTTCTTATTACCGAAAATACCATAAATGTAACTTCAGGTTTATAAGATTATAGGTTACTTTATAAATAAATAAAAAATTTCTGATAAGCTGCGGTTTGATTATGTTTCATTTTTTAGATCTATTACAAAACGCTAAAATTCTAAAACTAAAGTACTTTTTTATTTTTTTGAAAGACCTTCAAATGTTTTGCAATTATTTTACTTCTTCTATGAAAAACATACCGAGTACTGGTCTATATTCAGCAACGAGCAAGATATTGTCAAGTGTCAGCAACTGTTTAGAATAACTGTCAAAACCCAAACCCACAAAATGTCTTTGCAACAATGTGTCATCTGAAATAAGTAGTGCCATACTTCATACACGGCGAAAAGCTGTGCGAACCTGAAATATCTTTCAACCTAAACTTTTGTTGTCAAATAATACTGTTTACTGCAGTAAAGCATACTTATTATAAAAAATCGCTTTAGCAAAAAGTGCTAACCGTCAGTCGCGTTTTACTGTAAATGTTTAGACTATTTAGGTAACATCAGCTTTCACTGTTTTATGAGCTGCTCTACTCCCTGGTTATTACTTTTTTTCTTTAAAATAAATACACCAGTTTAAAAAAAAACAGGTTTTAAAAAGTACCAAAAAGAATTTAACAACGTCTTAACGCATCAGTTCTTAACAACTTATCACTCTCGCTTGAGTAGTCCACGCCCGGTTGATTTCAGAATCAATTCTTACTGAGAATTTTACTCAGAGCAACAGTCCAGTAAAATACTGTTCATACGGAAAACTATCAAACACTCAGTACTAACAATTTGGTTTACAACAAGAATAACCTTTGCTTTATTATCGGCATAAACGTTTTGGAAAAGTAAAGAAAAACAACTCCAAAAATCTACAACTTTTTTAGACCGAAGTCGTTTATGCGAAGAGAAGGCAATAAGAATTATTTGCACAAAACTGTAAAATGAAAAAATCATTACAAATAAATTTTAGACTTACAATTTAAAAATAATAAAATTTTTTTGTAAACGTTCAAGAAAAAAATTTTTTCTACTATTTTTTTCTTACTATTTTCCTACCACCATTTTATTTTAAAAACAGTTTTTTGTTTTTTTGCCTCAAAAGTAGAAAGAAAGCGGGCGAAATTGAATAGAAAATTACTGCATCAGGCATTTTACTTAAATTCAACTCGAATTCACTCTTAGATCCTAAAAGCAGCAAGTGTTTCAGGAAAATCTAAGAGCTTCGGAGAGATTACTTAAAAAAAGATTATTTTTTTTTTTGATTAAATTTCACCTAAAATGACGAAACTATCTACTGTAAAAACCTACAAATTATTTCATTTTGATATTATGCTAACACATTTTTAAATTTTTCTTTAAATTTACACAAATTTTCAATTACTGTAACTTTTTACGGCGAAAGAGGTGATGACCTTATTTTATTAAATTTCCATTTTCTAAATGCAAAACAGTAACTATATTATTCTGATTTTTTTCCAGAAAACTTTTGCAAGTCTTTTTTGTGACAATAATCCTTTCCTTTATCAGTTTATTTGACAGTTTTGTATGTTAAAAAGAATTTTAAAGCTTTTAGATTGTAGAGTCGAGTACTAATGTTGATAATTCAGCAGTTTAGTGAATTTAAGATTTTATCTAGCTGAATTCACATTTTGTAGAAAAACGTTTGCTTATATCTACCACGTTTTTTGCAAAATTAAAATACTAATTAGTGAAAATAATTGGTGATATTTTTTTTGACTAATCGTAATAAATATTAAAAGCTTTATAAACTACCTAACCGTTAAGAACGACTATACTTGTAATAACTGTGCAGTTTCCTGTATTTTACCGTTGACTATACAATTATGTTCTTGCAGAAGTTTTTTTCTTGCAAAGTATAGTGAGCCTTTATACTACCAAATGAAAGTTTATCCAGAAATGTAAAAATCTTTTATAACAATGAAGCGCTCTAAGTTCATTCTAGTAAACAATCGTGTGAAACAGTACAAATACCTTTGCTTCCTGCAGCCTACTCCTACTTTGAAAAACAATTAAACAAAAATTTGAAAAAAAAAACTAGTAAGGCAGCGGAGCTAATAAATTTTGTTACAACCTGAACACGTTTGTTTAGTAACCTTTGAAATTCAATTGTACGGCTACAGCAAAGCGAAATGACTGAAAAAAATTTAATTTTGCAAACCCTTACGAAGTAATCTTTAAAGATAATACTGTCACTGAATGAAAGTACAAATGTTGTCAGTGTCTGCAAATTTATGAGTTTCTCGCGTTGCGAAACCCGCTCCTTTTTTACTTGTCTCTTGTAAGTTGATTTCTGTTAAAGAGCTAAATACTTTTTTTGCAAGTGCTTCTTTCTGTTAACAGTTTTGTCACGTGTAACAAAACATTGGTTTTATGAAAACGAATTTCAGATTTTTGTGAAAATCGCTTGTCTCACCGTAACAGATTGCCATCAACTTCAACAATTTATTCCTTTTTTTTTGCAATTGAATCTTGTTCGGTGATATATCTTATAAATAATCAAAGCTCTCCATTTTTTTCAAAACAGCACCAAACTGGCTTTCATAAACAGCAGTAAAACAGAATTTCTGCCTGTTTTCAATGGAGCAACGCAGGTTGTAACGAAATTTATTAAAGCTTTCTAGTGGTCATAAATTTGTTCCGAAATAAACGCCATGAACAGGAAAAGTTTCGCAACTGCAGCAGGTTTCAATAAAAAAAAATTCTTTTGTTCCGTCTTAATTGTTTATTTTCTTTTTCTTTTCCATTTTTTTTTTTTTTTTT